ATCAAGTATAATAAAATACAAATGCAATTATTCATCTTCTCCCTTATTTGGGCCAAGTAATGGACTATGTTTTAAAAACCAAGATGAGCCCGGACCCAAATAATGAAGCCACGCTATCTGCAAATACATCAAATCTGCTTAGCACGGTTATAGCTTTTGCCTCAAATGCCTCCGCTTCCTTCTCCGTTGCTGAATCCGCGCCTTAGTTCGTCGCTAAAACCTTTGCTCCTTTTATCTCAATCCTCTCTCGCACCTTGGAAATTTCAAATTCCGAAGCAATTAGTCTCCGTGAAGCGTAGAACCTCCTCTTGCTTAGCTTCGAATCAATCATCTGACAATGGCGGCAGGAGCGGCGGCGGAGGTAGGTACGGCGCTCTATCTCCGTCTCCATTGGCGGATGAGGTTCACAGGATTGATGTGAATCCACCTAAAGGGACTCGCGACTTCCCTCCTGAAGATATGCGACTCCGTAATTGGTTATTTAACCATTTCAGAGAGGTTAGTTTCCCATTTTTTTCAATAGTTTGCCTCATGATCTTATTTATTTGAATTGAACAATTTGTTATGTTATTGAAGGTTTCGCGGTGTTTTGGATTCGAAGAGGTTGATTATCCAGTGCTAGAATCAGAGGCTCTGTTTATTAGGAAAGCAGGGGAGGAGATTAGAGATCAGGTTTCCTCTCTTCCTAAATCCTACGACATTGTGTTTACACTTTAACTAGGGGACATAGTTGATTTGGTTCATTTTGAAATTTAAAACGAGGCGAAGGATAACGTTCTAATTTAGCATACACGACACCAAATCTTAATTAAATAGTGAAATTTGTTTTAGCACTTATAATAACTTATGGAAATAAGATGATTATTATATTCACTGGGGACACTCGCACGATAAGATTAAGAATGTGTGACTGTAACAGTTGACAGCACGAGAGAGAAAAATGTATTAAGAGTATGCAATACATGAATGCTTGACATTTGCTCGTGATTTGTTTATATTTTGCTTTTTTTAGACTAAGTTCTCAATGATGGTTTCTATGTGCAGTTGTATTGTTTTGAAGATCAGGGAAATCGCCGTGTAGCATTAAGGCCTGAGCTCACACCTTCTCTAGCTAGGCTAGTGATTCAGAAAGGGTACAAGAATGTTATTGTTTGGTAATTATTTATGTATTATTTTTTTGTCTAGGTACATATTGAAGAACTTGATCTGACAGTTATTATTATTATTATTTTTGGTTCAGAAAATCTTTATCCCTCCCATTGAAGTGGTTTGCTATTGGTCAGTGTTGGAGGTATGAGAGAATGACAAGGGGCCGCCGCCGTGAGCATTATCAATGGAATATGGATATTCTTGGTGTACCTGAAGTTACTGTATGTGCTGCTTACTTGACTTGTTTGTGAACTTTTAAGCTTCTGTAGATGCTATTTTTTTTTGCCTATTTGTTGAGCAGGGCCTTTTATTTAATCATTGCTGTAACTATAATTTATATAACCTCTTTAGGACATCAGTGGCAGCATCCTAATTTTCATATAAAATTGGACTCTGTTTTACTCAGTCTCCTGCTCATATGTGTTCACCTGCTACAGAAGTGCGGAAATTCCTCCTTATATTTTTAAAACACACACTAGTGAAATTTTAAGATACTTCACAGATGTGTGCCATCCAGAAGTTGATTGTTAATCCGAGCACATGTATCCAACTATTTTAACACATATTGTCTAAGTGGTGCACATATACTATTCTGTTGGGATCCTTCATTCATTTTCTAGTTATCTAGGTTTTCATTTTCTGCTTGTAGGCTGAGGCAGAACTTATTGCTTCCATTGTCGCTTTCTTCAAAAGAATTGGAATCACGGAATTAGATGTTGGCTTGAAGGTTTCAAGCCGAAAGGTATGCTCATCCCTGAAATGGGCCATTTGGGGTCTTCCATTGCTTGCCCTTTCTTGAATGCATTCATTGTTATGGCTTCAGAAGCTATATCTATTGATGCCTTTGTCCTTGCAAAATGTTCCATTTTATATGAAAGTTGCATGTTTTTGCCCTTGCAGAATGTTTCACTTTCTATGAGAGTGCAACATGCACTCGCTGCAAATTATATGTTCTGAGTTTGTAATCCATATCTGCTACCCAGGTCTTGCAAGAAGTTTTGGGATGCTATTCAGTACCTGAAAATTTGTTTGGCAAGGTTTGCATCATCATAGATAAGGTTAGTTAGTTGATTACAATGGACTATTTATGATTTCCTAAATACTGGTTTTGTTCTTTCAGTCATGTACTAGGCTTTTGTAACTGGTAACACATTCTAGTATTCTAATGACTATTATTATTTGGTTTAGAGGAACATTGCAATGGCTAGATGTTCATTTTCTCCTTTCTTTAGTTTCTTTATTTACCCAGTTATTAATTAATTTAGTTTCATTTTTCCCGAAATAGATTGAAAAGATCCCAGTAGATGAGATTAAGAGAGAGTTGAACGCTACTGGGTTATCAGAAGAGGCTATTGAGGAACTATTACAAGTCCTTTCCATAAAGTCATTGACTAAGTTGGAAGGTTGGTTTTTATGTATTTTATTCCCTCAAACAAGTTTCTGTGTCCATGTTAAAAGCTTCAAACGGAAATCTGACTGTAAACCATTTAGATTTTCTTAAAATATGTCAAAATATTTAAATTCTAATTGTGTGTCCTGTACTCTTAAATGTAGAGATACTCGGAGTTGCTGGGGAAGCTATTGCTGACTTGAAACAACTATTCTCACTTGCTGAGAAGTTTGGTTACTCCGATTGGATTCAGTTTGATGCATCAGTTGTTCGTGGTCTTGCTTACTACACGGGTATTGTTTTTGAGGTTAGACTTATGATATAGTTTTCCCTCCATTGATATAGAGTGTGGTCACTTGCATAAGAAACTTAATTTGAAACAATTCATGTTTTATTCTCCAATGTCTACTTGCTTGTGGCAATTTGTTCTTGTTGCAATGAAACTAGATTGGTTTAATTTTTATGGGAGTAATCGTGTAGTGTCTTTTTTCTATAAGGGACAGAAGTCTTATGACATATTGAAGACCTTGGTGGAAGTTTGGTAGAGATGTAATTGGTCTTTCAACTTGCCAGACGTTATTATTATGGAGCTGCACCCTGACCCTCAAAGAAATTATATCCAAACTGTGTTAATAGCACTAAATTTGCCTGAGTATATGATATATTCATTTGCTTGTGGCCTGTACTATCAGGTTTAAGCATGGAAAGTCTCTTTGTGGTGTTTCTCTGTTTTATCCTTCAATCATCCAATAGTATCGTGAAAAATTATAAGCTTATTAAATTCTTTAATATAGATTTATCTGTTATCTTTTCATCCTTTCGAACTTTCAGCGCGACATATTTTTCAGGGTTTTGACCGAGAAGGAAAGCTGAGAGCTATATGTGGCGGTGGGCGATATGATCGGTTACTTTCTACTTTTGGCGGGGATGATGTTCCAGCTTGTGGCTTTGGGTTCGGTGATGCCGTCATTGTGGAAGTAAGTGAAAGTCTTATTTCATATGCAAATAATTTGATACTTTATATATATTAGTCAATCATGGATCATTATTTAGCCCAAAAATATCATGGATCGTTATGGTATGATAAGTCATGTCACTGCGTGTCATTTTTGTTAAGTAAAAGAAATGAAAACCAACTTGATCATGAATTTATCTAAATTGTGAAACAAAATAAAATGTATTTGGATAAACAGAAGGAGAAAGAAATTGAATGTTTAATGATGACGACCTGCAAGGTATATGAAGCGTGTCATAAAAGCAATTAATAGAGCATCACTGATCACTCTCATCCCCTCATTTGACAACTTCTCTTTACTCTCTATGGTTGAGTTGGTTACACGTGTGTATATAGATATATGTGCTCTTTTTTCCTTTTGGATGATTCTATCATTTGCTCACGGCTTTTTTTGTGCATGTGCGGGGATTGTGGTTCAAAGTTGCTCAAGGAAAAGGGACTCGTACCGGAACTTAGCATTGAAGTAAATAACATTGTTTGTACACTGGATTGTGATCTTCAAGGAGCAGCTGCTACAGTTGCTACTAAACTCAGGGAGAAAGGCCAAAGTGTTGATTTAGTCTTGGAGAGCAAACCACTTAAATGGTACTAATACAAACGATGCCCTGTAAGCTACTTAAGTTCGACAGTGTTCTCAAACAATTTCTTTCATGTTTTTCCATTTGAGTTACAGTCATTTTGATTTCATTTTCTTTTAGGGTGTTCAAACGAGCGGCACGGACAAATGCACAAAGATTAATTTTGGTAGGAAATACCGAGTGGCAGAAGGGTATGGTTGTTGTAAAAGTCCTTTCATCGGGTGAACAATATGAGATTAAGCTGGATGAGTTAGAGTGAAAAATGTTTCTTTGGCAGTACCTTCTATGATGCCCATGCTCTATGGACATGTCTCATTTTTGTCGATTCGGCTAATTATCTCCATACTTTATGGCATAATATTCTATCATAATACTTTGTAAAATTGATAGTTAAATCATATAAATCGTTAGAAAATGCATCTTTTGTAGTGATGTGGTTCGGTTGACTTCGGCATTGCAGTTGTATCGACTGTATGGCTACTGATGTGATCCCAGGAATCAAAAAAAAAAAACTTGAATCCAGAAATTAACTTACCCTGGAATCATAAAAAATTCAAACATCAACCTCAAATTTGGATGCCACCTTATATTTGGACCATCGGAACGCTCGGCATACAGATGCCACCTTCATTGGTCATCTTCAGTAAAAACTATCGTCCTTTTCTATTGGGATGTCTCTTTTTATCTCAATTTGCAAGCCATAAATTCTTGATCCCATAAAATTGAATAATATTATTTTTTAAATAAATAATGGGTCAGAGCCAATTGTTTCCGACCACGTGTCCATTTTTATAACATCTGTGGAGACTGGAGTCGGATCATTCCCATTTCTCTTTCCTCTCCTTCCCCAATCCCCGGTTTCCCTCTTTTGTATCTCCGATAATCTTTCTCCTGATATTTTTTTTAAAATAAAAATCTAATTATAATGGCTAAAGCATTCACTATCTTCTTCTGCTCTTTCTCTTCATTTCCTTCCCTTTCTCCTTGGAGAGAACCCAATTCTTTTCTCCCAAATTCCTTCAGATTCTCCAATCGTCCTTCTCGATTCATTCGTTTCTCTTCCAAAGTTTCAGATTCAAGCGGCTTCCACGGTGACGATTCTTTTGGTTTCTTTCCTTGGTCTCCTGCCGACAACTGTATTAAAAAATGAAACCTTTTTTTCCTTTCATTTTAATTATGTTTAATCGTCCATTCTTTTTAGTTGCTTGATCTAAGAGAGTGAAATCAAAAGTTAGGTACTCAAATCTTCAAATATTATTTTACGCTATTTTTTGTTATCATAATCGGAAATTCGCCGTCGCCGGAACAGGTGCAAGATATATATGTTATAGATTGAAGTTGCTTATTTTACGTAACGAAATAGATGGTTGAATTGAATTGATTAAGGAGTCATAGGTGTTAGAGGTAAATCTAAGGTGAAATTTTGGGGGCTTTTTAGTTTTGCATTGTGATTTATATGTTTATGTGATACTATTATTCCTTGTATTTTACTCAAATTTGCAGATGTACAATGGGTTCAAGAGGAGAGACTCACTTTGTTCTCTTCAGATGGACTAATTCAAATTGGAGGCTCGATGGTTCCACGGCGTTTAACTTCTCTGATGTATGCATTCTTACTAACTTGGTGGAATTGTGGTTTTCATCCCTGTACTATATACCCAATTCGGTGATTTAGTGCCTGTATTTTGTTCAGCATAATTGGTCCGCCTACTATTTATTCTTTAGTCCAAGTCATTAACATTGTTAAGAGTTCCGTAAATCATCTGATGTGATTTTTTAAAGAACTCGAAACCCAAGATTTCCTATTTCATTTTAAAGGTAAAATTATGGTTATTAAAATAATTATTTTCCACTAATTTAGTGACTTAGACTAAGGCATGATGTTAATTGGTAGGACTAAATTGTGCCAAGCATTGGGACTTAATCCTCAAATTCGGTATAGCTCAAAGATGAAAACTTTACTCTTTCTTGCTTAGAGTATTTAAGAGCTATCAAAGATTATGTTGTTAATTGACCTAAAGAAATGGAATTTTGAACTTAGATGGTATATAAGCCTCTAGTCTTATGTTTTTGTTCATTTATTGGTTCGTCTTTTTAGAATATTTTGTTAACTGGGCAGAAGAAGCAGGGGAAGTCAAAAACATCTCAAAGATTACAACGGTTTCAAGAGAGTGATTACATGGATCCTAACCAAGGCTTATGTCTAGGTGCTCTTTTTGACATTGCAGCAACAAATGTAAGAAACTCCCATGCTGTTAATTTTTCATAACCTCAAGGATTCAATCCTAAAAAACTTGAGACATTCTGTTTGGCCAATCTAGGGACTTGACATGGGCAGACGGCTTTGTATCATTGGCTTTTGCCGTTCCATTGAGATGCTAAGTGATGTTGTAGAAGATACTGTTTTAGAGCACGGTGGGGAGGTATGTAGCATTGGACCTGAATCATCTTCTCTTAAATAATTACCACATCCCATTTTTACATACGTAAAGAAATTGAGTTGAAAATCTTTAAAATAGTATACGAGACATTCTAAACTAATATTTCATAAAATAGCCTTATAATATTCTCTCACCATGTCTTTTGTATTGGCTCCTTGTTCTTTTATCAGATATCATAGTTCTTTTATCTAGGTGAGGAAAGTTTTTAGTTAGTATCATGAAAGTTTGATAGAACCAGTTAACTAGCAACTGAAACTGGGAGTAAGCAATGTGTTTGTTTGTTTAGTCAAGGATCTGGGTGTAGGTATCAGGTATGAGTATGGATCTGGAACGGATATGTTTTTTTTTTATAAAGTTTTCCCATGTATTTGGAAGACCCTTAGAGGTCATAGCTCTATATCCACGTGTTAGACATGGATATTCAAGAAAAACAAAGAGTTTGAGCAACAAAGGTTCACAATTGGTGGTTGTTGACCCTATTTTCATATTTTTAATTGGACGTACAAGTCTGATTTGTTTACTAAACAAGCCATGAAACTGTGTTTGCTGAGCTTTCCATGTAAAATCACAAGCTTTGAGTCGTCTTCCATTTTAGTAGCCTTCTTAAGCTTTGAATCAAAAGCAATATGTTATTATTAGAAATCTCTTGGTTCACTTTCACAATGTGGTTTAATATACTCCTAATTTGTTCTCCTACACTCATTTCAACGTGTAGCATATCTTCTCTTTGTGTGCTTCATTCATATGATCATTGTTCGTTCGTCGATCCTTTTGAGGGTTTGCTTACCTTTTTGTGACTACTTGTAGTTTTGAGATAATCTACAATCCATATGGTTCAGGTTGTTGCGGCAGAGAAGGCCATCAAGGGTGGTTTGCACGAAAAGCTTACCATGATGGTTGCAGTGCCATATCTGTGGGGTGTTCCCCCTGCTTCCGATACGCTTCACCTTGCTGTAAGAAGTGGAGGGATTGTTGAGAAGGTTTATTGGCAATGGGATTTTTTGTAAAAAAAATAATGAATTTCTTCTAACCATATTATTACATTGTGGACATCCTTTGTGCATGCTGTACATATATAACTGTTGTATTCCTGTGTACAAAACTGAATGTTGTATTCAAACTCATCAACCCAATTCATTAGTTGGGAATCGATTGTCATTTTCTAATTGACTGCTCCAAATCTATGATATGATTGCTTCTTTTTCAGTTGGGAGAAATCTCACCACCAATAAGTATCAAATATGCAGAGTACTCTAGCAATGGAACCCTAAATCTTAATGTTTGGAATTAGAGATGACAAAAAGTCAAAAACACTAGTTGTAATATTGTTCGACGTGGACGGTTGAACCGATGATCTAACTGACTTGACCACCGATTCGATTCTCACGACATTCCAAGGCAACGAATACATCACTTCTTTATGCATTAAAATAGCAGAAACAATTTATAAAAACCAGTCAATTGTTAACTGAAGTTCTGAGTTACGGAGGAACTTGATGCATTAAGATTTTTGAGATATAAAATTCACAGTACCGTGTTGTTTCATCGTCTGTGTTTACGACAAAGCTCCAGTCTGGGGCGTGTATTGAATATGTTGTGGCCATGTAAATGACAAAAGCAACAAATCCTCCAAGCCTAGATTTTCAACTATACAAAAGGATCGTAAACTTTAGGTGAACATCAAAGCAAGGATAACAAAAAGGGAGTGTCATCAATTAACACAGATTATATCGATATTTTAGAAAAATGAAGAGTTTGAATAACATCAATTATGGTTGAAACCATATATCTTCCAAAGAGCAAGGCTTTTTTCGAAAAGAAAGCAACTTTATCTGTTCAAGTGGTCATTCTATCACTTATGATTATTCCATTATAGCATTCTAGTGGAGACAAGACATGGCGCGCTATCAAAAATTTGATTTTTTTTCTTTTATTTTAATCTATTCAATGAAAAATTAAAACACGATAATTTCTTGTTGATTCCCCATGGACATCATATCTGGATGGATAAAACACCTCGTTAGATAACTGTAACTGTGTAACAACTTATGCTCTGAGGTTAACATATACTCATAATTGCAGTTATATTATGATATAATTGAAATTCAGAAATTCAGAAAGATTTTTTATTGTCGGTGTTGGTTTACCGTTTCCAGCGGTAAGCAGTGAAAATCGATGAATATCCACGTTTCGAAACTGTTGGTCTGAGCTTTTTGGTTAGAGTCTAGGTACAATGAAGTAAACCAAAGCAACTCTCTGCTTGCACATAAGAAATTCATCACCAGCTGATAGGTCCATTTTGAAGACTCAAATGTCTGCTAAGTAATAGTTGGCGCCTAAAGGGAAACCAGTGTGCCTAAATAGATACTTCAAGGTTATAGTGAGACAAAAGGATAAAGGTTGATTCGGACCAATCGGTTATGGCCGTTCAAGACATTACACAGGTCCTCTGGTGGGTGGTTAGTAACTGTCACAACATCGCCAGAATTGGGATGGTAAAATGAAACAAATTAGTCTGATAGGAATCATCGTACGAGGAAGCCTTTGGAGTTTGGAATGATGTTTATTTGCTGGAAGTCATAACAGAAAATCCGGCAGGTGGTCATTGTGGGAGAAGCATGTTGATCGCATGGAAAACATTCTCAAGCCACCAGACAGTAAGTGAAGACAAATACTATATTGCCAATTGTCCCGATTCTAATTAATCGATTCGATTTCGAATAGCAATATTTTTAGTCGACGTGGATGGATAAACATATGAAATCAATACAATTGGAATTTCCCAATAGGCAGAGGATTTGATAACAACATTGAATGTGACTTTTAATTAATACATAGGATGATGATTAAATGAGATTTTCTTTTCGGCCCTCATCCCATCTTATCTCTTTATTTCGCACCAAAATACACGCTTCTAAACCCTATCCCTTACACCTGTTCCTGTTTTAGTTGGTGAAAAATCAATGCTTTCGTGCTCCATTGTTTTCCAACAAACATGTTTCTTTCAAACTTATAATTTTATATCTTTGTTACACTTCTGTATTTAACTTTTGGAAATTATTAAATCTTTTAATAAAAATTCAAGGAATATATTGTACCACTTCTAAAAACACCTTTCGTCGGATCATTCTACAGAATCAATATTCAATTTTCAGTGTCTCGGCCGTAATGATTGTAACGACCATTAAAATACTCCGTTAAGTGACACGCATCGTATTTAGGTAATTTTAAAAAATTTATATAAAAAACCTTAAAAATATTATTATATTTTAAAAAATACCTCAATTTCTCTAAAAGTACAAAAAAGCCTCAAATCGCTAAAAAATTCAAATCCTTAACCCTATCCTTATCTCCCCTGCCACGACGCTGCCCTTATCATCTCCCTTGTCGATCATTATCAGTCTTGCCGTCGATATGGTCATTGGAGTCGTCGTGTGCCACGATTTTAAAACTATTAACATACTATTGGATATGCATAGATGAATTCCGAAATATCTCATTTTGGCCTTGCGAGGATGATCCAAAGAAAAAAAAACCCAAGCAACCAATAAATTTATACAAAAACTGTACTTACTAATCATAATGAGTGTTGTTGAATGCAGAAGATATATGGCGCCAGAATATTCATTAGGAATGGTGTAGAGATATTTGGGATCATTAGCGGGAAAAAAAGAACATTAGAATTTATCAGGTGGAAGATGCAACAAGCCTAATTGTATTCTATCGATAATTTATTTTCATTTTCTTTAAAAATTTATAAGTCGTAAATCTGAACATTTTGTAGTAGGGATGGAGACCGTGGCAACAAGACAAGGCATTGGATTCAATGGACAAGACAGTAGGGTTGAGTTGCAATGGAGTTAGTTTATAAGGTGCGGACATGTTGGAGAGGAAGAAGCAGCTAAAGGTGGCATAGGTGGTGTTTAAGTAGGCAGCGGTAACAAAGAAGAACCAAGACAAACCCTAACTTTGAATCCAAAGCTTTTCTCCCCGACACCGCTGAAGCCACAATTGGAGTTATTGCAAGAGACCACTACGGAATGACGGTTTGTGGTGGCGTTGCGCGTAAGTTGATTGGTGCTCATACTGGGTTTTGGGGGTTTTCAGGATAGAAATGAGAGGAGCTTTGTATTGGTTCCATTGAAGACTCTTTGGTTTTGCTTTGAGAGAGTGGATTATGTAGTACAAGAGAGACTGTATGTAGACACAAATGAGAAAATTGTGTTCGATCAGCTAGAGAAGAACTAAGGTCCTTTCCATATTAATATTATATATATTAATATATCGTTATTGATTTCTTATATTTTTATATTTTATTAGAACTTTATTTCAGAATATCAAAATTATTATCATGATAAAATCCATTGTCGTTTCCACGTATTTTAATTATGCGTCCAGCTTTCCCGATTCTTCTTTCGTAAACCACATGTATAAAACGTCTGCAAGCAAAAGGAAAAAAAAAATCTTTTTGTTTTAAAATAAAAGGATTACTTCCAGTAGGCACCCTTAAATAATAGCTTGAATTTTAAATATATACTCAAACTCCAAATCATTCTAATCTAATTTTTAAAATATCAATTGAATTCATTAAACGACCTCAGTAATAAAAGAGACGAGTTGTTCTCTTTAGAGGTATCAAGTTCAAGTAGTTACGTCTGCAGGGTATATGTATTGTTAATGGATAAAAGAGATTTTAAACATATACCATCTTGAAATCATCCTAAACTATTTAAAAAAATAAAATTAAAGTATCATATCATAACAATTAGATTCTTTTGCATTATCATTAGTATGTTGAATGTCAACTTAAATATAATGTAAAACAATTAATAATGATCAAATAATAAATATGAATATTTATTATATTTTTATAAATATTTATTACATAGACAACTTAAATTTAACATGTTAAATAAAAATAATAATCTTTCTAAATTTTATGGATATAACTTACTTTTTAAATACATCAAATTTAAATTATTCATATACTAACAACTTGACCCACATATTTTAAATATATAATACATCAGATTTGAATTAACAATTAACATCTAAACTGAAGATTAGATTAATGAGATAACTTGATTGATATGATATTTAAAATTTTGAGGATTCAAATAGAAACATTTTAAAATATAAAGATTAACTTAGAATCTTAGTGGTAGTTTGAGGTGTCTAGTAAATTAAGCCATTTAAAAAAAGAGATTAGTCGACAAAATCAATCAATTAATTTTATTTAATAAAAATGCTGTAAGGCTGTGTTTGGTTGGGAGAATGTGAGATTCATATAGGAATGAAATACACATTTCCTGTTTGGTTGGTCGAGAATGTTATTCCTGGTAATCCTACATTATCAATAGTGGATTTTTTTGGGTATATTACCAAGAATGTCATTACCTCCATTTCCTTAGGTATAGTTGGATTACCAGCGTTTTGGACTAAAATGTCCTTATTTTTTTCCAAATATATCATTATTCTGTCATTGAATAATAAAAATTCTACAAATGTTAAATTATAAATGTTAAATTACAAATTTATTCTTAAACTATTTTAGATTTAAAAAATATATATAATTAAAATTTTATATGGAGTTTAGGGGTTAAAATTTTCATTAAACTTTTTTATATTTTTAATTTTGTAAAAAAATATTATATAAATTTTATGAATTTAAATTTTTAAATAAAATAAATAAATATTTTTTAATTTGTTAAAAAAATAAATATATAATAAGAACAATTTGGTCAAATATAAATTCTAATAATATTTTATTCATTTAACCAAACACGGTAATTTTACATTCCTGTTAAATCAACCAAACACAAAATACAATATTTATAGTAATCCTATTCAATGATAATCAAACGAATCCTAAAGTAGTCTTTCAAATCATCTCTCTCCACTTTTCAAAAAGCATTTCTTTTCCTAATTACCCTCCACTTCTCGTTACTCTTATCTTTTTATTTCTTGTTTCCTTTTGTTTTTATTTCACTACATTGGTCCGACCGGCTATTGGTCGCCGGAGTAGCAGCACCGTTTGATCAGCTGATCTCATTCCGGTGAGCTGCTTCTTCCGACGAATCTTTCCGGATTTCCGTTCAACTATCTTTGATAAAATCCGATCATTTCAGTAACCATTATCACCGTTAGATCCGTTATTGAGTTCTCTTTATTAGGGTGAAGCCGCAGAACTGCCGCCTTCGAGTTCTTTAATCCCTATCTTCATTAGTCAACAACATAATCGTTTTTAGGGTTTCTTTTTTGGGTCCAAAATGTTTAAGAAAATTATCAAAGGGGGGCAACGGAAGTCTTCCAAATCGAATTCAACAGATGCATCTTTATACGGGTACGGTCCACCAATTTCCCACAATCCCGGGTCGGGTCCAAACTCCAATGCCGTCGTTGCCCCAGCTCAGAACTCCGACGTCCTTATGGTCCCACCACTGATGACCACCGTGGAACCCTTGCCGTTATTCCGTGAAGTCTCCGTTTCCGAGAGACAGAACTTGTTCATGAGAAAATTACAGATTTGTTGCTTCCAATTCGATTTCTCTGATACCTTGAAATCGGCCCGTGAAAAAGAATTAAAGCGGCAAACACTGCTGGAGCTCGTGGATTTCATCCAATCCGGGTCGGGCAAAATCTCGGATGTGTGTCAGGAAGAAATGATTAAAATGATCGGAGTCAACATTTTCCGGTGCCTCCCTCCGGCGTCTCACGAGAACACGGGCCAAGAAGCAACGGATCCTGAAGAAGATGAAGGCTACTTGGAACCCTCGTGGCCGCATTTACAGATCGTCTACGAGCTTCTTTTGAGATATGTGGTATCTTCCGATACAGACACTAAGGTTGCTAAGAGATACATTGATCATTCATTTGTTTTGAAGTTGCTTGATTTGTTTGATTCAGAGGATCACATAGAAAGGGAGTTTTTGAAAACGATTCTTCATAGGATTTATGGTAAATTCATGGTCCATCGTCCATTTATTAGGAAAGCCATAAACAATATTTTCTATAGGTTTATATACGAAACAGAGAGGCTTAGTGGGATTGGGGAGCTTTTGGAGATTCTTGGAAGTATTATTAATGGCTTTGCTTTGCCCATGAAAGAGGAACATAAGTTGTTCCTAGTGAGAGCATTGATTCCTTTGCATAAGCCGAAACCTGTGGCAATGTATCACCAGCAGTTGTCTTATTGTATAATTCAGTTCGTTGAGAAGGATTATAAGTTGGCTGACACTGTTATTAGAGGGTTGTTGAAGTATTGGCCTTTGACTAATTGTCAAAAAGAAGTTCTTTTCCTTGGAGAACTTGAAGAAGTACTTGAAGGAACTCAACCTGCTGAGTTCCAACGATGTATGGTTCCTCTTTTCAGACAGATTGCTCGTTGCCTCAATAGCTTTCATTTTCAGGTAACATATAAGGACTTATCTCTTTTCAATATGTCATTTTGGGTTGCAAAATTCCAATAGTCTGTGTTGTCATACACCTTTAGGAATCACTAGTATTCAGAATTGTGGAATGCCGATTTGTTGCTAGAATTGTATTAACAATGATTTTGATGTCCAATTGTTATCAGTTTTTGATATTTTTATCCTATAGCCTTTTGGTACTTGTATATAACTTGTGATTCTAAATGTGTAATGGGATTCTCACTAGTGTAGCATAACCATTGGCACTCTGGGAAGATGCTGCACACGCAGCATTTAATAACTTCTGATGGCTGTTGCATTGTTTTGAAACAAAATTTAAGAGTCGGAGCAATATATGATTTGAACCCTATACATTTCTGCTTACATTCCAGTAATTTTTCTCTTTTCAGTTTTCTCCCATGGTGTAGCTTATCTATGCTTGTTTGAATGGGATCCTTTGAAATGGTTTTCTGTTGGCATAGACTAATTCGAAAAGTTGGGGGGTGCGGTTCAATTGCTTTTTGTAATGTCTTATATCATTGAGTTTCTGTTGTCATCCTCTCTGTAGATAATTTTTTATTGCTTGCACTGTGACTTCCGACTTTCACTCATGATCAGTTAACTTTAAGAGCTTATGAACTGTTATATGTTGGTCCAAACATCAAATTGTGGTTGCTTTGGAAAATTTTTGTTGTTCCCTTTACTTGCATTCAATTTAGTTTCTTGCATTGATGCTAATATTGACATAATTACTCGTTGTAGCATCATCACGTGTCCCTTAATCATAATCTTCAGTCTGGTGATTATACCTTACTGTTTTTTCTCCTACATCCTGTTACTTCCTTCCTTTAGCCTTTTTGTGGCATTTTTCCTTAAATATCATATGGTTGAATAGTTATTAACCGGTTCTCATTGAGCTAAGTTTCACTCTCAATGGATTGCCTTTTGCAAAGGAGGGTGTAGTTGAACATTTGGAGTTTTTGGTTATTTACTTCTATTAGTGAGGTTTCTGCCGAGCTAATCACAACTTAGAATTGCTAGATGGAATGGGTTGCTAAATGTTGACTGCTTTAAAACATGCTTTTCCTTCAGAATTCTTCCTAAGACTGATTTGTGTTGCAGGTCGCAGAAAGAGCCCTCTTCTTGTGGAATAATGAGCACATTGTGAGCTTAATTGCCCAAAACCGGCAGGATATATTACCGATCATCTTCGAGGCATCGGAGAAGAATATTCCAAATCATTGGAATCAGTCTATTCATGGGTTGACTGTGAATGTGCAAAAGATGTTTGAAGATATTAATTTTTTATCCATATTATTATTATTAATATTATTATTATCATTATTAATATTATTATCATTATTATTTTTATTATTATTATTATTATTATTATTTTTTATTATTAAATATATTAAATACAAACCAATTACAATTAAACCGGCTCAGTTACAAACCAACTGAAACCGGTCCAAATCCAACCGGAAACCCTAAATATTTGGGTTTCCAGTTAGGGTTTCCTAACCCTAATCATCCTCAGCCGCCTCATCACAACCGTTGGATCTGGCACGATCCAACGGTCCACACTCATCCAGCACAAACCCTAGGGTATGATACCCTAGGGCCACGCGGCCGCCGCTGCTGCTGCTTCCAGAAGCCCTCACCGCCTCCGCCGCTGCCACGTCCCAGCCGAAGACTCCAGAAGCTAGAACACCGGCCGTCCACGCCAAGGCTACGGGGTGAGTCACCACTGGTAGTCCGGTGACTCACCGAAGCCCCCTCTTCGGACCGGTCCGAGACGAACACCGGTGGTGGCTATAAAAGCCACCACCCACCTGAAAAAAAAAAGGGGGAGAGACAGCAAGAAGAGACAGAGACTGAACCAAAAAGAAAAAAAAAGGGAAAATAGAGAGATATAAAACTACCAACGATCCCAACAGAGCAAAAACAAAAAGAAGAAGAGAGGGGAGAAGCTTACCAAGGAAACCTTGACCGTCGCCGGAAACGCTGAACAACGCCGGAGAACCGAAAAAACCGAAGGTATATTTGTAGATCTGCTCCGATTGGGAGTCATTTAACGGAAAAAAGTATCGGGACCGTCATTAGGACGGTCCGATCTACATTTAGATATAAAAATTTTTTTTCCAGCCACCGAAGACGGTGGCCGGCGGCGGTGGTTGACGGCGGATGAACGCCGGCTAACGGCTTTCGGCCGACTGAACTTCTCTCAGTTTAGAGAGAAGACAGAGAGTTCTTCTCTCTGTTTGAGAGAAAGAAAAAAAAAAAGAAAGAAAAAAATGAAATGGCTGGCCCGAAGGGCCAGCCGATTTGGACTTATATAGTCCTTCCCGAACGACGTCGTTTCGGGAAGGACTATGCGCGTAATTACAAAATAGTTAAATCCCTTCCGCAGTCCTTCATATTTGTAAACTTTACATTTTGGTCACTAAACTGAATTTATAAGAATTTTAATTCGGTCTTTGAATTTTAATTTTATTCATTTTAGTCTTTTTAATTAAAATAATATATTTAGGATAAATGACAGATTTAATCCCTTAATTTTAATAAATAATTTTTTAGTCCCTAGTTCATACTTTTAATTTATTTTATTATAAAATTTGAATTTTAGATAAGTTTATTTTGGTCATTAAATTATTAAATAAAAAAATATATTTAAACCCTATAATTTCAATTAATTAGTAATTAGTAATTAGTTTATTTTTATAATTTAGTTATTAATTTTATATGTCTTTATTTATTTTATTGTTTTTAAATATATTGTTTAATAGAATTATATTTTATTATATTGTTAAATATTTTGATATATATTCATAAATATATATAATAAATATTAACTTTTAAATATTTATTTTTAATATCGAAGAAAAGGACAGTCTTAATACAACTGGATGTCCTATTCTGATGTTTTAAAATTAAACAATATTATTTAAATTAATATTTATCAATATCAAAGAAAAGAGCTGTCTTAAGGCACCTAGAAGTTCTTTTCGGATATTTTTAAATAAATATTTTTTTTTACAATTTTGAAATTATAAGATTATAAATTAAATATATTTTTGAATTTTTAAATTTTTAATAATAGAGACAATTTATAATTAAAAAGTACCAATTTTGGGCGTTGTAGGGGTGCTAATCCTTCCCTAAACGTAACCGACCACGAATCCCTTTTTATTATTAAAAAGAATGAATTTTTGGTTATAAAACGCAGATCAGTTCAATTTTTTAATTGATGTTTTCTTAAAACTCTTTTAAAAATAATTTTTAGGTATTCGACCTACCTGATCCAAAAAGGCCGATGGCGACTCACAAATTATTTTCAAAATTATTTATTAATATTAATTTCCCCGCCAAATTTTAATATTTCGTGCCCGGACGAAACCGGTTACGACAGCTTGGCGACTCTGCTGGGGACCGGTCAAACTTTTAAAATTAATTATAAATTGTCTCTATTAGTTAAAAATTAAAAATTTATATATTTAATTTTTAATTCTTTCTTTTCAAATTTTTTTTTATTATTATTTTTATAATATTTATATGTTTTATTTGCAAGTATTTTATTTCAGTATTTATTTTTATGTCAAAAGTTTAACATTTCTCCTCACACACAACACTTGCATTGCATAACATAAAGCTCTATAATTGAGTTGTCCCTTTTAAGTGAAAGTGAAAGCAACGTCTTCGTGAGAATTTATTCTCCGTGTCAGACCTAGCAAGTAACTTTCGGGGTTCATATGCTCTCTGTCTTCGTGAGAATTTATTCTCCGTGTCAGGCATAGAGAAATGTATCCCCTCGAATTGAACTCGATTCACTTTAGTCTGTAATGGACTAGGATTGAGGGTTAGCAACCCAAGGGGCACTAACAAGGACAATTCGGGTACCTTTACTCCTAGTTCTGAAACCCTGCATATAAAAAACCTTAGAAACTCTTCCAATCAGAAGTCATGCCGAAATTTTGTCCAAAATAGGTGTACACACAGGAGAAATGAATTATGTCTTTCCTGTTAATTTATTTTACATGTTTATTTAAATTATTTAGAAAAGCATGTTTAAATTAAATAAATGTTATTATCCTTTAAACTAACTTATTTTCTTTTTGTGTGTTCTTTATTTTTCTGTTTGCATAGCATCATACAGGATAAAAGACATTGATCCTTGTGTTAATAGTCTCATTGGAAAACCTTCATCCATGGATAAAAAGGGTTCAAGTCAAGTAATTCTAAACTCAGAAGTAAGACAGTGGGCTGAAGATTTACAAAGACAAGAAGGAGATAGTCTGCAGGATGATTATGTATCTGACTTGGCCAGTTATGCTTCAGTTTCACTAAAAAGAAATGATCTGCAAGATTTGCGAGGTATTTGGGAAAGTTGGGATTCAAAAAAAAAATTGCAGTTTTATCAGACTTACGGAGACATCCCATATTTTCTCTATGTTGAAGTTGATGATGAATTACTCAGAGCCCTAGTTCAATTCTGGAATCCAGGGTACAATTGCTTCACTTTCAATAAGGAGGACTTGGTCCCTACTATTGAAGAATATACAACTTTGTTACATCTTGAAGGTGCTTTGGAGAGTCGAATATATTCAAAATCAATTAAAACTCAGCCCTTTCGAGTTAAATTAGCAAAGATTGCTGGGGTACGAGAAGAATGGGTAGCATCCCGTACAAAAAAAAAGGCGAAAGCGAAGGCATTGCTTGGACCAACATCAGAGAGCTTATTCAGAGTCATCCAGACGCTAAAGTACGATTCGATCTATTGCTCTGGGTATATATGGTATGGTCATCTTCCCAAAAGTATTGGGATATATTGAAGCTGCAGTAGTAGACTTGTTTGAACAACTACCAAAGAAGATTAATCCTGTTTCTGCCATCCTAGCAGAGACCTTCAGATCATTAAATGCTTGCAGAAGGTTAGGAGGTGGACGATTCTCAGGGTGTACTCAGTTATTATATGTTTGGATCCGTAGTCATTTCTGGAGAACAGAAAAGGTTTCATACCGACGCTTCAATACGGGTTATTCACCATTAAAGGAATTTCTGGAGCAGGAATGGCCGAAAGAAATTAAGAAGGATATGTGGATTAATGCCTTTAGAAATCTGCAAAGCAATGACATTGTTTGGCGAGCCCCGTGGCAAATACAAAGGGAATTCTTTTACAAATGTGGTGATTACAACTGGATAATGCTGCTCGGATTATGGGGAGGAATTGGATATGCACCACTGCTGGTTATAAGACAGTATGAAGGTCGTCAATTTGTACCTGTCACTGTTGGATTACAGTCATCTGAGTTCGCATTCCACAACAAAAATTATAAAAGAAACATCATGGAAGCCGTTACAGCTTGGAAAACAACTTTTTGTATTCGAGCTAAAGCAGCAAAGGAAATGCTAACTCCTGATTATGAAGAATGGAGATCTGTCAGAAAAAACGAAAATATTCCTCTACCAGATCAAAATGAGGATATTCCTATGGAAGATCACATTAAGGTGGTTCCATCAGAGATTGAAATCCTGAGAGCTGAGTTTGAAGCAGAAAGAGAAGGTTGGTCGAAAGAGTTAGATCAAATGAGACAAGATAAAGCTATGTTGGGGGGTTGACATTGACTTTCATTCATCACAATGTGCAATGTTGAGAAAAGATAAAGAAAAAGGTGAGGATGAGTACAGAGCCTTACAGAAAGATTACCAGGAGTTATATAAATCTCAAAAAAGCATCAGGACCCAGCCAATCGACGGTACAGATGACCAGAGAATTGAACATTGAGAAAAGACGAGTTGAAGATCTGAAAGGAAAGAATAGCCGTCTACTCAAAAGCCTGGAAAAAGGAAAGCAAAAAATGGAAGATTTCGAGGTCGACAGAAGAGAGCGAATTATAAAACACAAGGCTGAACACCGTGAGATCATGAATGAAATGCAAAGAGAAAGAGATCGAGCTAAAGATTTAGAAGAGATGAAGAATGACATCTTTGTTAAATTTGAAGGCGAGAAAAATAGCATGTTCAAGGGATTTGAATCTGAAATGAACCAGTTGATTGCTGAACTTGAAGTCAGAGGCCAAAAGATGGAAGAATCCAATGTTGAAAAAGAAAAATGGGAGTTAGAAAGAAAAAATTTCAATACCAGACTTGAGGTAGAGCAAGAGGTGGCTAGCAATTGGATGCAAAGATGCAGAAACAAAGATGTTCAAATCCAGAAGCTTAATCAAAGAACGCAAGAAGCACGAACAAAACTTGAAGAGGATTTGGATCAGTCTAGAAACAAAAACTC